ATATGGATGGGTCCCTGTCAGCACATGGTGTGAAAGGATTTTGGGAGCATTTGGAGCTCTGGCTTTCTATTGCTGCACCTTGGTCACCACTGTGCACATATTCTATATATAACATGGAATGCTTTTCTTCATACAAGCTCATTTTGCAGATAAACTGCTGAGGTTCACCCTAGGTCTCATAGATCTCAGACATTTTATTTCCCCATCACTGTCTCTTTCTGTTCCCCAAACTTCAGCTACTCAACACTCCTCCCACTTGTTACCCTCTGTGCAGTTGAGACCCTTGGCCAGTAGAAATAGCCTTTGTTTCTTTTAGTCCCTGGGCTGGCTTGGAGCCCTGCCTTTCAACCTTAGTCCCCATACCTATTTTACCCATCCCTTCCTTTTAGTTCACAGTCCTGCCCAACCCATGCTAACACCCCAGAACCATAATGCTAGCACATTACTCCCATTTTTGATCAGGAAATGTGGAGATTCTCGATTTGTCTGCCTCATCATCAGTGACGTTGGACTTGGACACTGGTCCTAACAGCAATGCAAGCCTGTATGCACACCAGAATATAAGCTGCTGCTATACCCTGCCCTCCAGTGGATGAGCACTGGTTTTCTAAAATCTGCCTATTCTTCTTCATTAACAAATAATAGTTTGCCAGAATCCACTTCCCTTCTCTGAGGCTACTAATAAATAAATGGAAAATGGAGCTCTTTAGCAAATACACAAGTTTGTGCATATGACAGTACTTCTTGACACTGTTTAGGCATAGCTCCTAGGTGTGATATTTACCCTAGGGGTCTACCATATTTGTTAGTGCATCCACCTTTTCTCTCTTCCTTACTGCTACCTTCACTTGGCCTTCTCTTATATCTCCTTACTCCTAAAGACACCAGGCCTTGCATGGTGTTCCCACAAACACCAGCAAACAGCTACAGCAGGGATGAACTCTACCCTAAGGATGATGTGGGTATCCAGAACAGAGCTATTTATAAACTAACAGGACATATTTTTATTTTTAATATTACTATTTCTAAAGAGTCAAGTCAACATAGTAAAATCCTTCCTGAGCTTACCACTGTTAAAAAAAAATGGAGCCAATGATTTAGTAGTAAAACTATGGAAATAATACACTCTTACGGAACAAAGCAAGCCTATGTGCATGTGATAGCCTAGTGAATTTTGGGATCAACTATGTCATTCTGTTACAGGACTACAAGAATAAAAATGGAGGGATAATGCAGAGTTAGGTTTGCATTGTGGTCAGAAAAGATGATAGGACAACTAGCAGTTCACTGTACAGAGCAAGAGACCCAAATCAATGTCTCTCCACCACTGGGCTCTTTTCAACTAGCTCCAATGGTGTCTGCATCACTGGTGGTCTTGGAATAAAATATGTGATACCTTTGTTTCTGAATGTTTCCACATAACATCACAGTGTGGGGCCAAATATCCCGTCCTGACTGCCTCTCAATCTACAGCAACAACCTTTCACCCAGGCTGAACCTGGGTGGAATATATATATTATATATATGTAAAAAATCATCCTTGGCTTCCAGGACCCTTTTGGATAGCCAAATATGTAGATGTTCAAGTCCTTTACTTAAAATGGCACAGTATTTGTATGTAACCCAAACACACTCTCTCATATACTACAGAATTGTCTCTAGATCATTTGTAATACCTAGTACAATGCAAATGCTGTACAATTACTTGTTACACTGTACTGCCTAGGGAATAATAACAAGAAAAAAGTCTGTACATATTCAGTACAGGCATAATTTTTTTCAAATATTTTTGACCAATATGGATAAGTGACTATAGTTATTCGTAAAAATGTTCTGGGCTACTAAACCAGGGTTCAAGGCAAACAAAGCACATGGGGTGAAAAGGAATAGGGGCTGGAATCCAGGCTGTGCTCTGGTATCCCACATACCTGAAAGTGTATAGTAAATCTGGAACAAGGTGTGGCCACCATGTATCCTGACCCCACATTTACCAGGCTACAAACCCAAGGGCAGCTCCATTCCACTTGGCCCACAGATGTGGGTGTCTGCTCTGTGCCTGATAATTAAGTATTATACAAAGCTTGTGGGGGAGCCAAAGTATACATCAAAGACTACAGTTGTTCTGCCCCTCAAAAGTAAGTGTTTGAATCTTAATCTCAGTGTTGAAAGGTGGAGCCTAATGAGAGATGTTTAGGTCATGACATCTATACCCTCAAAAATGAATTAAATGCTGATAATAAAACAGCTTCAGACCTTAAGTTGAGTCTGCTGCTCTCTCTCACCCACATGATACTTTCTACTATGCTATGATACAGCAAGAAGGCCCTCACCAGATGCTCATTCTGTGTTCCTGGGCTTTCTAGCTTCCAGAACAAGACATACTAAACAAGCCTCACCAGACTAAAAGCTGTTAAAGAAGGAGGCAGAGTACCCAGGGTAGAGAGAGTGGGAGAAGAGAAATGGCCAGGGATAAATTCATTGTTATGGCAGCACAGAGCAGCATCTTGGAAGAAAAGTGGGAGCCTTCCAGGCCAAGAGAGGGCAGACAAAAAGCCAGTACCATGACAGGACTGATGGGAGGAGGCTGTTTAGATTGAGCACTGAGGAGGGGCAAGAAAAGAGGTGGGAAGGTCAGCTGAGGTGTGAAAGGCTGTGTCCTGGAGACTAGACTTGCAGCTGTGAGCAAAGTGAGCCAGCATAGACCTTAATGAAGAATAACACAACCTATGTGCTTTTCTTCCCTTTTTCTTACGGACTTTTCTGGCAGCCATGTGGAAGACACAAAGGAGCTGGTGGTGACTGGTGACTAGGAAAACCTGTATCAGGTGCTGCTCAGGGTGAGGTAAGGGTCTGAAGTAAAATGTGGTAGGATCTGATGACCTACTGCTTAGTACTGAGGGGCAGACTGAGGATTCCACCAACAGACAGAGTGCCTAGCTATGCAGAAACGAAAGACAGTGACTAGGAAGGAGAGCACAGTGGGATGCATTCTCTTCTGGTAACACCCAAGATGCAGGTCAGTCAAGGCAACATACAAAGCTATAAATACTGTGGATCTAAACACATTGCCTACTCACCACATTTGCCCCAGTTCAGATCAATGGAGGAGCAACAAGCCTGACACTCAGCCAGGACCAGGGACCAAGGATATGTCACACTGACTAATGGGGACAGGGGCTGCTTTCACTGTACAAAAAACTCTAATTCAGATGAAGTCCATTAAGTGATAGTTCTGGATTCCCATTTTAACTGAAAACTTGTGTTTCACTTTATGACAGAGCAGAAAAGGAAAGAATAAAATCAATATATGCATACAAAACACTGCTAACCCTGAGTGAAAGTTTAAGGTACAGCTGGCTGCCAATGAACTCTTATGGGAACATGCCTAAGAATAGTAAAGATAATTCCTTTTAAAAGGAAAATTGTGTGGACCATTTGTAGGAGAACAAATGCACAAAAGACCAGCTCCCTTCTCTTCCCATAATGAGATTAGAATATCCTTAGGAGAGCAGAAGAGAGAAGACAATTTCCTGCTTTTATTTTAAACTAACTTATTGAGGTATGATTGATATAAAAAAACTGTACTTATTTCATGTGTACAATTTGATGAGTCTGAAGACAAGTAAATATCCTAACCCATAATATATAGCATAGGCATACTTATTGCCTCCAAAAGCTTTCTCTGTCCTCTTATTTACCATTAGCACTTTTGATTTTCACGTGTGTGGTAAGAACAGTTATGGATCTACCTTCTTAGCAAGTTTTTAATTATAAGTTTTATTCACTGTAGGCCCTATGCTGCACAGTAGATCTTTAGGACTAACTCACTTTGCATAAGTGCAAACACCAAGGCAAAATGTGCTCCTAGAACTCTATCTACCTGCAGTGAGTAATCAATGAAGACACCACAGGTAGAAACTGTTACTGGAAGCAGAGCTGCATAAACACAATCAACATACCTGCCTCCAGCTTTACCACATACCTGTTCATAAGGACAGAGGTAGGAGAAGCAATGTCTGCCCAGCCCTGGGGCCCTAGACTCCCCTCCGTTCTCATAAAACTCCTTCCTAAGAAGAGGAACCTCCTAGGCACTGTCAAAATCAGGACACCAGCCTGAGTTCTTAAGAGCCAACACTTACCCACTACAGTATGTGGGTCATTTACACACTTATGAAAAAAATGTTTTGTAAGAATCAAGAAACAGCTAATTCTCTTTGACCCTGAGACATTGCTTTGGGTGATAAACCTAAAAAGTCCAAATGTAACTTCTACAAAACTGTCTACAGCTGCAAGATTTATGATTACTCAGAATACTAATAAGTGCACAAAGAATCCATATTGAATGAATGAACAAATAAAAAGCAAAAGAAAGCAAAACAAGCCAGATTCCAGTGGTTCACACCTACAATCCTAGGAGTCAGAAATTAGTAGGATCTCAGTTCAAAGCCAGCCCGAGGCAAACAGTTTGCGAGACCCTATCTGGATAAAACTCATCACAGAAAAAGGGTTATTGGAGTGGCTCAAGCTATAAGAGCAACTGCCTAGCAAGCATGAGGCCCTGAGTTCAAACCCCAGTACTGCCAAAGAAAGAAAACAAAAAACCAAATTAAAAGCAATCATAGAGTATCTAAACAAATTACCATTTACTATCATAAAGTCCTGAGGCATTAAGAAAGGCAGAGACATTACTGTTCCTACATAAATACGGTAACATTTTAAGGAAAAAGGCAGAACAAATAATATGCACATATGAACTGCATAACATTCAAATAAGATGCATCAATAACAATGTAAGAGTACGAGATGATGGGCATACAACCCTGTATACACTGCATTTGTTATCAGTATAAACGAATAATGAAGCTGGCCATTGGAATTTGAATGAATAAAATGGTCTGAATTCTCTCTCGTGTAGCATACTCTGCTGCAATGCCTGTTACAAGTGTTTGCAGAGGACACAACATGGCAAGGAGGAGAGACAGGGACGGGGGCTGGCTGACCTGGAGTGGGGTTTGGGGGCTGCCTGGTGTAGGAAACGTTGAACGCAGGCTCCTCGATCAGTGGTGGTGGGTACATGCGCCTGCGGATGAAGAAGCCGGCTCCGCAGCAGAAGAGCACTCCCATCATCAGGAGGAACCTGAGGAGGACACAAGCATGAGGCTGGAGCTCAGAGCACAGGAGGAGGACATAAGGCCTTAGGACTCAGCCCTTTGATTCAAAGGTCTCCATAGACTCCGAAAGTTCTGGAACACCACTCCAGAATCCAGGTCCAGAAGGCTGTTTAGGAGCAGAAGTACCTCAGACTCTCAGACTCAGTTGTCTTTGGACCATTTCACTCTGGGACTTTCCTCTGGTGGATGACACCAGGCAGATATTTATCCTGTAGATTCCTGGGATATCCCCTGGACAGAGGCCATTAACTGACACTAAGAGGCTTTGTAAGTGAGGCTTCTGGCTCAAATATCTCTAAATAGCTATTTGGTTTCAAAGGGTTGGTACAATTACTTCCTCGTCCTTTGGCTCTCAATATTTTAGTCTAAACAGAAATTGCTGGCCAAATCCTGTCTCAACACCACAGATAATCTAGCCTTTGCCTCGCTTTTCCCCCCCATTTCCCATTCTTCACTGTCAAAGCCACAAGGTTTGCACATTTATACTTCCAACAGCTGCTTCCATTATTATATGAACAAAAGTACCTTTCTCAGAGCACACTTTAATTGCAGAGAAACTACAGGTATAGAGAAAATACAGTCAGTAAAAAGCTGACAATTTAGAGAACTCTTAAGTTCTAAGTGTGACTGAACATTCTCCACATCTTGACTCAAAAGTCTAATTGGCAGTGGAGCTGAATGCCTTAAGGATAGGACCTTTGTCCAATTCATCAAAAAATTCTCATTAACTATCACATCATCAGTATTTCACAAAATGGTTATGGAAAGATTGAATGATTTCCTTTCACTTCCCAATGGCATTGTAACTTTTTGTTTCTAGGAAAGGGCACAGTCATTCTGAGAAGAGTTAATAATAGACAAAGGTAATGGACAAAATAGGAACTCTTGCCCATCTCTGAACTGTGGTGGGACCCACAGAACCTTCCAAAACATCGTTATGACATCTGGGAGGGAATCTCAGTGCCTTATGTGGGATGAGTACGCAGCAGAGCTGGTCATGACCAATGGCACCAATACACACATAAAAAAAAGTTTAAGAGATGAGTGGATGGTGAAGCCTTTGAGAATTTTAATATGCTAACAAGGCAATAGATGTATATTAACTAGATAACCTTGGAACACTGAGCAGGGAGAAAAATCAGAGACAAGACAGAAATGACTCAGGAAAGGAAACTGTGGTGTTTGTATTCTGACTTCTAATACATTATTCATTCAACAAGTAATTGTTAAGCACCACTGCTGCCCATTATAGTGAGAAAAATAGGTGAGGATCCCCTCACCCACAGAACTTAATTTCTAAGGGGACAAAGACAGTACACAATATATAAAATTATTTATTTATAATTCTAGTAAGTGCTAAAAAGAAAAATGAGGGATGCCAGAATAGATAGGTAGGTAGATAGGGGTGTGTGTGTGTGTGTTAGAAGTAGAGACAGAGAGGGAAAGAGGGAGGAAGGAAGGGAGAGAGGGACACAGAGAATATACACGTGGAATTCATCTTCTTGATCACTTTTCAGTGTATAACTCTGTACCAAGGGGCTTACACAGGATATCTGCTATAGTGAGAACAGAAAGGTGTCCTGCCCTTGAGTGACGGTTAAGTTGGGTACTGAAGGATGAGAAGAGTGAGCCAAGCCAGGGTAGGAGCATTCTGGTGGAAAGAACAGCAGAGGTAAAGATACCTGGCAGGAAAAGTTCAGGAAGGAGAGTGAAGAAAAACGCTCTGGCTGGAGGCAGGCAGTGGTGTCCTGCAGCCACAAGGACCCAAACTGGGCACGGGTTTAGCAAAATAAGGTAACCTTCATGAATAAGAGTGCTGGAATCAAGGAGGGGAACTCTTTCCTTTTGGTGAAGTCATAGATATTCTTACCTTCAATACTGAGTCTGATTATGAATATCTGTCTAGCAATATGTAAAACATAGAGAGGTAAAATGTGCACAACGGTTTACCTTCTTAAATGATGTTACTGGTCATTCCTGAAAGACCTAGCTCCCTAGACTGCAAAATGTACAAGTCACCAGACATCTTTGTCTCCTCCATGGTTACACTGCCAGATGGAACTCCCTGTCTACTCAGTAAAAAATGACACTGTGCCTCATACCTCAGAATGATAGAGAACAAATATGAGGCAAGGATAGCAGTCACCAGCAGGTTACCAAATACTGGCTTAGGTTATCACCATCTACTCATTCTCTAAAGTACTAGTTGGAGAATTTATTTTAAGAGAGAGACCTACAAGAGGCAGGAAAAGCGCCTGGTAAGAGGAGCCAGGCAGGTATCATTAACGTGAGAAAAGTAGTTCTCAAAGGGCTAGGAGCCACAGGGTGGTGTTCCCTGCACTTACCTTCTGTGTAGCACTGCATAACTGGAACGGTTAACCGAGGAAGTCATATTCCCTTTCTGTCATCAGAAGTAATCTGCTTTCTGTAATTCAATTTGTTTTTTCAACTCTTCCTTATGTTCCACAGCAATGGTCATCTCTGCCTGTCTTGGTGACTGGTACAGGGACAATGCAAACCTCTGGGAACTCCCAGTAGCAGACTCACCCACAGAGCTACCCCTGCCAGTCTTCATTCAGGCCCATGTGCTTTCCTACAATGAGGGGTGTTACCAGCACACCTTTCTAATCATGAGGATTTCATTCAGACCTCCTTGTCTAAGGATCACTCCAGATTATAGAGCAAGTAGGGCCTCTTAAAATACTCTGTGATAAGGAGTCATAAGTCTTTTCAAGAGTCAGGTGATACTTCCAGACTGCACAGCAGCCCTTCTTTCTGTCTAGCCCCACCCTCTTCTCCACCAAATGCCTATCCCCTACCATGAGGTTCCCAGGCTTTCTACTCCTGTCTCTGCAAAGTGCTGCCTCTGCTGCTCTCTGAAAATGTACTCAAAAGATTTTTGCTTTTCCTTACATTTCTGGCATCAGCGGTACCATGAGCTCTTTGAAGAGCACTGGCTTAAAATTACCTACTTGTAACTATCTGCTTAGACATCTATCTCTTTCAGGTACCTAACTGCAAATAAGGGCCTCTCCTCTGGACCCCCAGCAGAATACCTGTTGCATATTAGGCAGTTGAGATTTACTGAAAGAAGGAATTTATGGGGCACGGTCCAAACATTGTTTGTGTTTTAGCTCAGGCACCTCAAATTCACAGCCCAAGGTGTTTTCTGGCTATACCACCAGTTGAAACTTGTATTAAGAGTCTCAACTCCAGGCAATGGCTCATACCTGTAATTCCAGCTAGTGGAGATTGGGAGGACCATGGTTCCAGGCCAGCCTGGGCAAATAAGCTGTGTACACCTATAATCCAAGCTACAGGGAGATGCACATAAGAGGATCTTGGTCTGAGTGCAAAAATGTATCTGAAAAATAACTGAAGCAAAAAGGTCTGGGGGCATGGATCAAGTTGTAGAGTGCCTGCCAAGCAAGTTACAAGGCCACAAATTTAAACTCCACTAAAAAAAAAAAAAATTCTCAACTCTAGTAACTTGATCAAGTCTTCTGGCAGCTGGCAACTCTGAACTTACAAAAGCCTGACCTCACTGATGGGACTCAAAAGAGCTTCTCTGTATGTGAGGTCCTGCTAAGTGGCAATGTGTATCTCACTAAGGTGCCCTGTCTCTGATAGCTGACCCTGGCCAACAGCTCAAAAGCACTGGGGGCTGGTTCCAGTAAAGCAGAACAATAGAAGGTACGAGGCCTGATGGACCGTTTGGGCTTTCTCATTGCTTTTAATCGTATAATACCTGGTCTTTAATAAGCTTTTCAATTTTTAGGAGCATTCTTACAACCCCACCATTCACCTGGTGCTTCAGACCAACCCAACACACTTCCTAATCCTTTTAGGGTTCAAGTTTCAAGCACTAACAGTTGGCATGATTTTGGCCAGGAGGTCCCAGTAAAGAGACTCATGAGTGAGCCCTGACCTGAAGCTAGATCACATTCTCAAATACCACCTCTTGCCCGTCTGCTCTCTCTCTTTGCTTTGGTTCTAGTCCTGCCCACCTTGGGATATAAAGAAGTGCTTGCATTTGGAAAGCTTTAAGCTAAAACAGTTGATCTTCTCTCACAGAGTTTTAGTCATCGGCAACTCTGTGTCTGTGTGTGTGCGCGTGCACGCGGGTGAGAGAGAGAGAGAGAGAGAGAGAGAGAGAGAAATAGGACTCCTTGTTCAGGGAGAGGCAGCCATCCAGGCACAGATGCCTGCATTGGTTCCAAGGGAGACCTAGCCAGGTGATTAGGGGATAGGTGATACCATCCACAACATGTCCAATGCTCTGTCAAGTAGCTGGTGACGGTGACAGGGAAAGGAAGACTGCTCTTAAAGAAAACCTTGGTCATGTGACATGCAGTCACTAACTTTGATAACACTTTTGTGGGAAAGACAAATCCTCATAAAAAAATTCAAGTGGCTGCTGTAACATGCCCAGTTTTTAAAGTCTTAAAAAAGACAGTAAAGTCAGAATTTTAACATTATAAAGAAGCTTAAGTGTGAAGTTATAACCCTTAGTGGAGTTTACCTGAGAACATCATATGGGAGCAGAGTAGGTGAGTACAAGAAATCTCTTTGGGTTTTAAAGAAATTCCTTCCCACAGTGCTCTGCCATCCCTGATATCTGAAACATCATTTATCTATAGTCAAATGGACTGTCAAAGAGCCCCAAAGGGTAGCCCACAGAGGATCAAGATCTACAGGAGGTTTATGGTCTGTGAAGAAATTGCATCCTGTTCTTCTCTCGAGGTGCAATCTGATAGACTGCAGAGAAGCGGCAAGAGAGTCAAGAATGAAGGTTGCCTGTTTAATCTGTTTCAGGAATGGGGGGTGGAGGGAGGAGGATAAAGAAGAATGATCGAGGGGGTGAATTCAACTATGATATATTGTAAGAACTTTTGCAAATGTCACAATGTACCCCAGTACAACAACAACAACAACAACAACAATGAATGAAGGTTGCTTATCACAGAAGCTAAGATTCAGTGGACAAAGATTAATGGGGAAAATTTCCAGGTAGCAGAAACTTTATCATGAATTTGCCCATTCTCTGATTCCTCCAAACATTCAGAAACTGGCTGGCAGCTGCTAAAGGGCAAGGCTGTCATCCAGCCACCTTTCCAAGAGCAGAACTCTTCTTTTCCAGACAGTAGTCTGTGGAAATGGAAATGAGCATTCTGCAAACTCTGAGCACAACCACTTCTCATGAAAGCAACCCACATGTTCCTGTTTTCTTAGCCAAAGCTATCCCAAAGGCCATAAATCCAAGGTGAAGGTATTTGAACTGAGCTTGTGACAATACCAACAGTGGGTAGAGCTCGTAGGGGCTGGGGTCAATGTTAGAAAAGGGCATCAGGAACAAGAGAAAGTTGTGACCTACCAAAAATACCACAGCCTCTGTATGGAGAGGGCCCGCACACAGCACCTAGAGCCACAGCAGTCCTCATAGGAACGGCATCTGCAGGAGAGAGGGCACAGGCTGGTCACCATTCTGGATCAGAAGAAGCAGTCAGGCCAGTCATATGGTCCAGGCAGGTTTTAATTGTAAGTATTCCTAGAAGGACAAATCACAATAGATTCCTCCTCCGGAGGTTCATGAATAAAATCAGTGCTAAACCTGACAATTTGTTCCCAGAAGGAAGCTCTACAACAGACAGATACCAATAAGGCATTGATCTCTGCTTTCACCAACTCCTGTGATAGAAAAGGCAAAACTGTCCCAATTAAATCCACAGACATTAAAGCAAAGATTATGGAGTCAAACTAGAACTAGTGAGGATAGGCTTAGTTCTGGTCTTGCCATTTACTGGCTGTGGGACTTCTGCCAAGTTATAAACCTCTCTGAGCCTCACTTTCTTCAGTAGCAAAATGGGTGGAATGATAAGGGGCCTTCACCATGTTGATTTAAGTTTTTAGGGCATCATCTTTACATATAAAGTGCTGACAAGGATTATGAATGCTCATGCTGTCTCCTTTCCCAACATGCCTGAGGCTTCGGGGTCCTTGGCACAGGATCTCATGACATGCTCAAGGGCTGTCCCCACCCAGAAGAGCCACCCAAAAAAGGCTCTGACTGAGGGTGGAACCTACTCTAGGATGCCAATGACTCACTCAGTTCCTTTAATGTTTCTGCCCTTCCCCAATGCTGTTGCTGCTGGTTTTTGAAAGGGAAATGGTATTAAAGCTGAGGCCCTTTTGTTCAGCACTTTGTATTTACAAAGAAACTTTCACTAAAGCAATTTGGGTCCCATGGGAATGGATGGGTGAATGTACTATTCTCAATAACATGAAATAACTGCATAATTGTGATATAGGCTTCTGCCAATTTTTTTTCTTTAAAAAAAGTATCTGGAAGAATTTTCAGATTACTCAAGTACAAACCTTGTTTTGGGTAGAAAATACTGGACACTAACAGAAAACAGAAAGCAGCAAGACAGAGGTCTGGACCTTGACAGACTTGGGCACCAACACTGAAGAAGCTTCTCCCTGCGTTTTTTTGTTGTTATTTCTTTAAGCTTATGTCTTCTATAATTGTTTTCAAGTTTTATTTTATTTTTTGATTAACACATATTAATGTGACTCAGAGTAGTATTTCAACATAAGCATCCAGCAATTCAAAGTAGGGCAGGTCACCAAAGATTCTGGGCTTGGTTGATACCCAGCATCTGAGGGCAACTACATCCTCTTTTGTTTCAAGGACAAACTGAGTTGAGAGACACCTCCTACACACACACACACACACACACACACACACACACACACACAATTCCACAAATGGACAGTTCCACATCCAGTTTTTCCATGGCTCATGAACACAAGCTTCTCTACCTATTACCTGCATTGTTAGGATTTTAATGAGATGACCCCCGCCCCCATAAGATAGTAAGCTAACCTAGTCAGTTTAACTTGCTTTAACCACCAACATCTAGCAGAGCCACCTAAATGAGTACTTAAAACGCTGCTGGTTCTCACGTTCCATTCATGTCCCAATCAGCAACTGAGTAGCTCCTAGAAGCCATCTCCATGCTGGGTCCTGTGGGTGAAGCAATCAAATCCAGATGAGAACCCCTGCCCAAGAGGAGCTTTCTTTCTAAAAGGGGGAGATAATCAATATGTCAGAAAAATAGGAACGATGTTTAATGAAAACATCATTCTACCATACTGAAAAATGAAGCAGGCACAAGTTGAGAGCATCAGGGAAGAGGTAATGGGCAATATGATTTTAAACAGTGTTCTGGGATGATTCAGAGAAGGTGACATCTGGCAGAGGCCCCACAGAAATCCAGTCTCAAGGTGCCCCCAACAGGCACAAGGACCTCAGTGTCTGGGGGCAGGGGTGCTGGCCCCCTACAGTCATTGCTCTGCAGGCCCTGCAGTTGCATGTTGGAGAATGATTAACCACAGAGAATGAACCACAGGATGGGGGTGGGGGGCACTCTAAATCTGCACAAGAGCTGGATTAGCAAGGGCCTGGCTCTGTACAAACGGCAAACTGGCAATCCATTGTGCCTCCTCCCCAAGAACCTCAATGCTCTCGAGTAACTACTGTTTCATATGTGTCCCACATGTGTGTGCCCATGTTTGTGGAAGGAGAGGGGAGCATTCAAGGGAGATACAGGACTTCTTACTATTAGGGTAAGTGGAGTTCAGACAATTACTTGTAAACTAAAGAGATGGGACTATTTCTTATCGTAAACTTGCAAACATAAGTATTCTCACCAATTACGTTAAGTGTGATAGTATGGTAAGCAGCATTCAAAAGTGGCCCCAATATTCTCACTCGCTGGTGTACGTGCCCTTCCTAATCTCCTGTCCTTCAGCAGGGAAGGTCCAGTGAATGGGATGTAATAGTCGCTCCAAGGATCATGGAATAGTAAATAAGCTGGTATGTAATATAAGTCTGCCAAAGCCAACTGGAGATGTCTATTGCTGGCTTTAAAGAGTAGATGCCATGTTTCAGGAAGGCCACGTGGTGAGGTCAAAAAGTATAGTCACTGAAAACTGTGAGCAATTCCAGCTGAACCACAGTCCTACAACAACAAGGAAGTGAATTCTTCAACCGCCAAAGGCACCTGAAGGAGGATTCCAAGTGTCAGATGAGAACATAATGGACCCTATTCCTTAACTTCAGCTTTGTGTGACTATAGACAGTCTATCTACACTGTAACCGTGCTTGTGATCTACAAAAACTGTGAAGTAGTAAATGTATATTATTTCAATCTGCTAAGTTTGTAATAATTTATCACACAGTACTATAGTTACAGGTTATGAGCATTTCTTACACTACAGACACCAGGTTAAGTGCTTCACAAATATCTAGTATCCACATGCAAGGCAAATATTATCAGTGCCATGTTTGAAAGTAAGCTTAGAAAACAAGAAATTACGATGTTTTATCTCCTCTCAGCTCACTCAGGTCACTGCCCACACTAACAGTAGAGTTAGCACATATTAATAAGTATAGGTTTTACACACACTCACTCCCCTCAGCCTGAGAACACATCTATCCTACAGTGTTAGGACTTTAGTGGATTGTGAGTCCCTAGCTCAAATTCTTCCTTGTTGGCAAGATTCAACACCTAAGTGCTTAAACTCACTTTTCAGCAAATACACACTGTCAACTGATTATCTGCTTTCTTTTCTCAGAACAGAGCATCCTTTAAGCTCCCTTCCTAAGGTGAAGATACACTCACTCCAAGTATCCAAGGCTCATCTGCAGTTCTGGCATGATTCCCAGTGTGGATGTTGGCAGTCACCAGCCACTCGAAGGGGCACACAATTACCTATGGGATGACACTCTCACCCTTTTCCCTCTGCTGCTTCCTTCCAATGAAGCTGCTGGTAAGTTGCAGTCCTACACACACACCTGCTGACATTCAAAATTGCTGCCAATTATGATCAAAATGTTAACCACAACTTTGAGCTTAATTAAAAGTATAAAAGTAGTACACATTAAGAGGTGGTCTAGCACACTAAATAAGTAGGTCAAGTCATAGATGTTCTGGTTTTGCAGTCTAACAGAAGGAACAAGACCAATTGACAGGACATTAGAGGGACAAATCCAAATTAGTTTCAAGTGATCACAAAGCATCAGTTTAAAAATCTCTTGAAGAAACAGCTAAGGTGACCAACAATTGATGAATGGATACAGGAAATAAATTACGGTATATGTGTGTGTAGTGGAATAGTAACTCAACCATAAAGGAAAAATTAAATTGCACAATTTGCAGGAAAATGAATGGAACTGGAGATCATCATGTTCAGTGAGCTAAGACAAGCTCAAAAAGTCAAAAATTTCATGTGGAACCTAGACCTAAAATGATCAATGGTTCTTTATGTCTTTGAACCTCAGTTGAAAATTCTTATGTCAGAGTCAGAACCTTCTTCCTTGGTCTGTTTAGCCACATCATGTTGTGATGATTTTTTTTTTTTGCAATACTAGAATCTGAACTCGGGGCCTTGCACTTGCTAGGCAGGCACTCTTACTGCCTGAGCTGCTTTGCCAGCCCCCCATTGTTTTATATTTTTATGGATATTTTTGAGATAGGGTCTTACAAACTATTTGCCTGGGCTCTCTTCAAATCATGATCCTCCTGAGTAGGATTATAGGCATCAGCCACCAGCGCCCGACTATGTTGTAAAGATCCTTTACCTTTGATTTGGTCAATACATCTCATGGCAAAGTCATACACAATGACTTTAATGACAGAGAAGATCAATGTCTGCGGGTTACCCCTTTGGAGTCATTTTATTACCAGGAGATACCTTCTCAAATTTGTACAAACCAGAAATGGCTTGTATTTAGCCTGGCATATGGGATTTATTTAAGGAAATTGCTTCAATTTCTATCAGGAGAGAAATTATTATAAATGCTTATTATAAATCCTATAATTAAAAAGCCAAATGGATTAGAAAGTGCTCATTTTCTTGCTACTGCAACCTTTGAATAGCTCAGTTGCAGCTGGGGTTGAGGTGAAGTTAGGTAAGATGGACAGAGTGGCTGTTAAGACTACTACTGACCTTCACTAACTTGAGGTTTTAAAGCTACCCTTGTGTTCCTGGCATAAATCTTTTTATTCTCGTCTTCTCTCAGTAAATTGTTGCTCATTTAAAATCAGTCCTATTCAAGTCAGTCTATCTTGGGAAATAATGAATGGTTAAAATAAGATTTAAAAAATAAAACCTGCCCAGGAGAGTAGATAATGTGGAAAAATTAAAAGTTGAAGCCCTCCTATGATCTTACAGTATTTTAATATGATAATAAATTTATCACTGAAATAACACAGGCATAATAAGTAAATGGAATGCTATGAGTTTGGCAACAAGATCTGGACAAGAGACAGATTCTAGTACTACTAGATCTGGGATTTTAGATTTGGGTTTACTTTTTCAGTTCTACTTTTATTTGTATTGATATCTTAGTTCATTGAGACTATTTTAAAAAACAACAATGCAAAAAGAAATGTATTTTTGACAGTCCTGGAGGCTAAGAAGACTAAGATCAAAATACTAGCAGACTGGTATCTGGTAAGGGTTTCTGCTTCATAGATGGCACCTCGTTCCTATGACTTCATATGGCAGAAGATGGCAGAGTATCTCCCTTCAACCTTTTATAAGGGCAATAATCACTTCTCATAGGCCTTGCCTCTTAATACTATTTATTATTTACCTGCCGGAACATCTAAGTCTACTTTTCAGTTCTGAACTCCCTTCTGAGCTGCAAATACAAGCTCCCCCACTAGCTCTACTTCCTGGATATTCTGCAAGAACTTCAAACTCTTAGGCACAGCTGACATTCTCCACTCCTTCTGCTGATATTCCCTCTCAGCCTATTCTTTTCATGGAATCTCTCTCATTGACTGCCCAACCAGAAACCTCTGCATTGCTTGACTCCCTATGGAGCACTTTTCAAGCCCACTGTCCTCTTACTCAGTCCCATCTCCATTAAAGAGTAAGAATGCCATACTTTGTCCTTACTATAGACATTATCTTCTTCCCTCCAAGCACCATCCTGCTGCCAAATACCCTTCTGAAAGACCAGGCTGGCAAGTATTGCCTTGCTCTGTGCACAAGGAATCCCCACTCCTCAGAAGGCCACTCAAGACCTTTCTGGGTAAGCCACATCCTCTTTTTCCATTTCATCTCCTGCCATCTTCCCAAGGCCCCTATACTCACTCTAGTCTTGTGGTTCCCTGAATACCTCAAGCAACTTTATATGTCCATGCCTCTCCTGCTTCCTATATCCTCTGAACCTGCCCTTCACCCTTCAAAGATCAGATCTGTGAGGTCTATCCATGTGCTCCCCATGTCATGCTCCTCCCTTGATGAGATTCATGCAGTTCTCACCGTGCACAATACTGTCTTGAATTTTTAAAGGCTTTTGTTCTGCACAATATGAACTGAAGCACTATCCCATGCTATTCTTCCATGTCTAGCCCAGGTGTCTCCCACAGTTCCTGGCACTCTGTAAGTGCTTTGCTTAAGCAGAATGATGTTGTAGTAGGAAGGAGACTCACCACAGATGGGAACAATTCGCTAATTTACATGAATTCAAAGAGAACAAAGCTGACTGAGATAGCAATGTTAACACACAGTTGATGAAGGTGGTGCAGAACAGGTGCTCACAAAGCAATGGCCAATTATATCAAGACAAGTCTGGCAGTATTGAAAGGTAAAATAAGCATAACCTTTGGTTAAGCAATTCCATTTCTGCCAAGTCATCCTACAACAAAAATAAGTTCTAGTCCATGAAGATATAGTATGTAGGAAGACGTTTGCTAAGTTTAGGGCAAACCACAATCCCTCCCAAACTCCGGGACTCAGAACTGTTTGGACATACGGATAATTTTAGAAAAGTTAAAAATACATTTATACAGAGATTACATTTTTAGGGTTTACTGATGGGTCTTAAGTAGAATATCAGTAAAATCTTTTTCCATGTCATGGAGAAGAAAATGTCTCCAACTTATACCAGGTGTCTTCAATGATAAGCTCCGCAAGAAGAATGGAGGGAGAGAAATAATGCTTTAGAGTATGTGTCTGTAGATCAGACTCCCTGTGGCTTCTAAGGTGCCTTACCACTCCTGACAGAAGAGCAGATGTCTAGAAAGGGGTGTGTGTAGAAATCATAGTGAAGCAAACACATTTTCTCTACCCTGCACATCCCCAAAGTCCTCAGTGTTGCTGTGAGGGGCCCCACAGATGGCACCTGTCAGGCCCAGCATCTGATACAGAGCCATGAGGGCAGCTCATACTTATGTCTCCTTCTGGTGGTGCTGTGTTGGAACAGGATCCTGGATCTGATCCTGGCACCTCCCACTCTAGCAAGCAGGCAAAGCGCCCCAGCTGAAGCACTCTCCTTCAGTAATGCAGCGTGTGGCTTCCTACAGTGTCAGTGACTTGACTTCAAAGAAATTTCTCCACATTCTTTCCTTCAAGGGCACTTAGATCTTGAATCAACTAATATAAATGAACCAAAAGGACACCAGAACCCAAAAGTCCTGCATCTCTACTCCATCCATGTGGCAGCCACTGATGTGACCCAGTCAAGCAAAAGACCTCTGAAGATACTGCAGGCCCAGAGTAAT